TCATAAAGATACCACAGTACATGTACTATATCCTATGTAACCCCAATGGGGTCTAGAGTGGCACTCTGAAATCAAATGCTAATATTTCTATAGCAAAATGCATAAATAGTAATATTAAAAGGGATAAAGATCCTTGTAAAAGAAAAATCTGGGGCACAATAAAATTTTAAAGAGTTTATTTGAGTAAGAAATAATTCATAAATTGGGGAACACCAGACTAAATGAAGTTTAGTGTTCCAATGACACAGCTTCAGAGGCAAATATTTATAGGGTGAATAAGAAAACTAAACAAGTTATTTGACTAGTGGCAATTACAAAATTGCTTTTTATGGTTTACCTTATTGGAAAGTCCCTAGTCACATAATCATATGTTAGTTGGCTGCTCATGATTGGCTAAGGTTAAGTTTTGTCTCTGTGTAATATAAGCATTTACCCAAAAAGATCCGAGTTAACTTTTGCTTATGTTTGCAACTTAAGCAAGGCTAAGGCTCTCTTTAAAGCCTTGTTGGTTTTGTTTGGTAAGGCATGCTTCAGGCAGAGTCTCCATTTAATCTTGCTTTGACATTACCAATGACATCCCTTAAATTCAAGCTGGATTTTGCCACCAAATTAGACCAGATCAGGTGAATTTTGCTGCCAAGTAGGTTACACAAATCTATGACTTTTCCAGGCTAATGGAATTCGGAATTGTAGATATGGTGTTGTGGACATATATTAGGCATGAAGAATCTAGGTTGTGCATAGAGTTTTAGACATGAGCAAAAAGTGAATTACATTTTAGAAAGATGGAGAAAGCACTAGTTTTTCTCAGTTCCCCAGTAACTGCATCACATTTGGAGAAATGGACAATACCCACACCTAAGGTTCACCTAGGTGTTATAAAAAGTTTCCTCACCGCATTATCTTCCTCCTTAAATATCCTTATCTCGGCAATGGCATCATGTACCATCAATTGCTCAAACCACCACTGCATAGTTGTCCTTGGTTCCTTTTTGATCCCTCCTCATATAACCTATCATGAAGTCTATCAATTCTGCTTCCAGAGTATTCTCTTCAATGTCATAGGACCTATAACATCCTCTCCATTTCTGTAGCTACTACCTCAGTCCAAGCCCATCATGTCTTCCCTAAATTAAAAGAACTTCCTAATTAGTCTTCTGTTTACATCCTTATCTCCCTGCTGCCATTCTGCATGTAGCAACCAGGGTCATTGTTCAGGCAAAAATCAGATGATCTCATTCCCCTGTTTAAAAATTTCAAAACTCTTAAAATGACTAAAAAGGCTTTTAATGACCCACCCTTTTCCTCCCACTCTCCCTTCACTTAATGCGCTTTAGTTGCTCTCATCTGCTTTCTTTCTTTTTGGCAAATAAGTAAGCTCCTTCTTCCTTTAGAGTCTTTTGCATTTCCTGCTTCCTCAAGGACACAGCTGGAAACATTCATTTCCAACCTTTGCCTTGCTGGTTTCTTCTGGGTCTTTAGTTGTCATTGAAGACATAAATCCCTCAGCCATGACTTCTCTGGTTTCCAGACTAAAGTACATTTAATTCCCAAGCCCTCAAGGCAAGACCCTAGTTGATTTTCTTCAAGGTATTTGTTATTATTTGAAGTTATATTGATGAATTGTTTGCTGAGTTATTTATTGATCTGTCTCTGTCTTCTAAAATGTAAGCTCCATACAGGCAAGGACTGTTCACGAGTGCATCTCTGCTGCCCAGAACATTGTCTGGCACACAGCAGAGGCTCACTGAATGTATTTAAAGCATAGAGTTAAAGTCAAGTAACTGATAGTTTAACATACTCATTTTATTATTGCAGTCATTCACATTACTTGTGTTCCTGGTCCATCTAGGTTGTGCTCAAATTAGAGTGGTCTGTGGATATTGCAGAGAATAATGATGTGTCCGGAATACGAGGCACAATTTTTATGTCTGGTATTTTGTTGTTGTTGTTGTTAGTTTGATATTTTGCCTACCTAAATCAGTACTGTGGGTCTAAAACTTGGATTACATTTAATGAGGGTTTGTAGAAGAACTCTATGTATATGTGCGTGTGTGTGTGTATCTATCTATCAATAGATAGATAATTTTAAAAAATATTTTATCCTTTCAATCCTCTGAAGAGAATAAGTGACTTGCCCATAGCTAAAGCGCAATCACACTTAGTTTAAATTCCACATTCTTCAGAGTACAAACGTAAGGAAATGAATGTAATTATTCATTTTTAAACAAATTTAACCTTCTGTATGTAGATGATTTAAATGCAATTTTGGAAATAATGCTATTCTATAGTAAATGAAAATAAGTAGTTATTTTAGCTCTATGGATTTTGAAGAACATGGAGAAAGAAGAATTTATTGTGTCTTTATATCAGAAACAGTATCTTCTTTGTGGAAAAGCTCTAGAAGCTGGAGTCTCCAGATTTATTTCCTGCTACTCTCAGAGAAGATTTAAATAAAGTAAGAAAATCCCCTCATGAAAATAGCCTGGTTTACAAGGCTATCATTTGGAAAAGAACACCAAAAATCTGCCTTCCCCTACATTCTTGACCTCAAGGAAGATGTATTTTCAGTATAAAATTTAATGTTCTGGTTTAAAATATGTAGGAATATTAACCTTCTTTTGGTGAAGAAAGTCCAGATTATCTATCAGGAGAAAACAATCTTATGTAATCCAATTGAAACTATAAGAAGAAGATGTTTTGCAAACAAATTGCTAATATGTAAGTCATTTGGCTAGACCAACAGGGTGACCTTTCAAGCTATCTCATGGGCTATTTATGCACTTATTTAAAGACCACCCTGCTATATTGAGTGAAATAACATTTTCTTTGTCTTATTTTCTCATTTATTTGTTATGTTGCAATAAAGTGTCTGTTTCCTTAAAAACAACACTCACACACCAAGAAATAGAATTTTAAATCAAAAAGTTGTCTTGAGGTTTATTTTCAACTCTTCTTGTCAACACTTCTCAATGCTAACTAGATTTAGTGAAACTTCTTTTATAAGCGTGTGAAGACCTTTTCAGCAATGACTATCCCAGCTAATATTAACAACAAAGTCTGGGGTGTGATTGTAAATGACTTTTCATACGCCAAAAGTATTTTGTTGTTTGAAGTGTCAAACCCTTTTCTTAACTGGCAAATAACAAATTCTATATATTTATTGTGTATTACGTACATGTTGTTTTGAAATATGCATACATTATGGAATGGCTACATAGAGCTAATTAACATATGTATTATCTCACATACTTATTTTTTTTTGTGGTCAGAACACTTAAAATCTACTCTCATGGATTTTCAATAATACAATACATTGTTATTAACTGTAGACACCATGTGACAGTACGTCTCTTGAACTTATTCCTTCTAAATGAAATTTTGTGTCCTTTGACCCATATCTCCTCTACCCCTGCCTCCAGGCCCTGGTAACTACCGTTCTACTCTCTACTTTCAAATTCTTCTCTTATTGCTGGCTTTACACAATGACTGTAATCATTCCAAGAAGCGACCTCAAAGAAGCCATTTCCAAAAACATCATTTCCTAAACTAATTTTAAAATAAAGTTGCTGTAAGTTACTAAAAAAGAAACAATATATGCTAAGTATAGAAAATTTAGGGCTGGAGAAATGTTATTCAAAACATTTCTCTCTTCATAATTATTTAAGAAATTATATAATGTCAAAGAATAAATATTAATTTTTTGAAAGACACAAAAGACAGACATCTAAACCATCCAGATATAATATAATCATGGTCACGTAAAAATTATTGTAACCACAGAGAAGAAAAAAACCCATACTTGTAAGTTCTTTAATGGTTGTACTGACTTTATTTATATAATGATGGCATCATACATCTTTCACTGTATATTATTTCAGTGACTTTCAGTAACTTGATTTTAAAGGATCTTTGTTGCCCTATTTCTCAGTCTTCTTCAAGGCCAGTACACATTGGAGGGAAAGCTATTTTTGCAAGAGTTGCAGTTTGTGACTGATATATGGAGACAAATCAGCCTGAATGGGGCTTATTTTGAGTCCAAGCCTATTGACTGAAAGAGAGAGGGCTGGAATTTAACCAGCATCCGCCATAAACTAGGCTATGTCTTTTATCAGCATATCAAGAAATAAGCTTGGATGCTCAACTCCTTAAGTTCCTCTACAGAGAGGGAACCACTGACGTTCCTCACTGCATTTAATCTCATTAATAATAATCTCCTGTTTGTTAAGTTCTGTTATAGACCTCATGTTACACATAAAGATACTGAGGCTCAAACATTCAGTCCGTGGCGGGCAAGGGTTTAAATCAAAGGACTCTGGTTGCAGGCTCATTCTATTTGTCATACTTCCTGGAGAGGGAGGTTGACTCACGCCTATAATCATAGAACCTGGGGATCACGCCTATAATCATAGCCAAGGTAGGGCCAGCCACTTGAACCCAGAAGTTCCAGACCACCCTGGGGAACATGATGAAACCCCATCTCTACAAAAAAAAAACCACAAAAAGTAGCTGGGTGTGGTGGCATGCCTATGGTCCCAGCTACAAGGGAAGCTGGGAGGACACCTTGAACCTTGGAGACTGAGGCTGCAGTGAGCCAGGATTGTAACACTGCACTCCAGTCTGGGCAACAGAGTGAGACTCAGTCTCAAAATAAATAAAATAAAAATAAAATAAAATAAATACTTCCTTTCCAAGCACTAGAGAACTGAGAGATTGGTCGAGAGAGTTAAAAAGGGCCAAAGCAGTGATTTTCAACATTTTATGAATAAATGATGAAATCTGTGTGTGTGTGCATGCATGCATGCATGTGTACAGAAAGAGCACATGAAGACAGACAGAGATGTACAGATGGTTTTGGTAGAAAACACCAACCTTTAAGAACAAGTGTAAAAAATGTAAATATAAAGATTAAGGAACAGAGGATTAATACCATGATTGCCTATTCAGAAAAGAAGATTTTTGTCCTGAAAATTTCATTACTGGAAATCATTTCTCCAAAAGCATTTAGATCGTCCTTTATTCATATTAAGAGGAATTAATTGCTTTCCATTTCAATTTATTTTTTCTTCAAGTTAGTCAGTTTTTTCCCTAGTATTATAGATTCATGCTTCATAGACAAGATTAACTTTTTAAAAAAAGTTTTAACAACAAGGAAGGTATGAAAGAATTAAGAGCTTGAACTTTTTCCTTTAGATTTCTTGGATTCAAATCAACTGTACCTCAGATTTCATATTTTTCTCCTGTAAAATGAAAGTTGTAATGATTAAATGAGAAGATATAAATAAAGCACTTAAGATACCTGATAAACATTAAACTACAGCTCTTACATCGAAATAACATGCAGAAGTGAGCATTTAAATGTCTTAGATAACAAAGATGCTTCCATTATCAACAATTCATACTAGACCTGCATTGGATTGTTGAATCAATTATCCAGTGAATAAAGTATTGATTGCCAGTCTCTCTAAATGTCCAAATAATAAGGGATTGTTAAAAAATTAATCATATTCTATGGGCACAAATGCTCTTTGCCTCTCTATCTTAAAACCACACACCAAACCACTCATGAATCACTTGAATCAGTCATTTGGAAGTGTCAAACCAGCATAACACAATCTAACAGTGTTCCTAATGTTACATCTTAAAAGATTTATCCACAAACAGGCAACATAGAATCATGACAAGCATTTTCCTTTTTGTACATAAAGTATGGGTATTTTGAGAATTTGAGAAGAACTATAGGTAGAGCATTTTGCTTCTCAGATTAATGGTTTAGTGATGGCTAGGCTAAGGACAATAGGGTTGAACAATTTATGCCCAGGATCTCAAGAATAAAACTGTATTGTCCCAAGTGGTAGCCCCAAAGCAGTTAGCAATTAGCGATTCTGAGCCTAGGGTTCTTTCTCTGCTTTCTAACCTCTTGCTGTTATTTGCCTGAGAGTGCTCAAGTCTGCTGATGACTGGGCACATCAAGTTTGAATGAATATGTGGCAGACTCCATTCCTGAAACCTGTGGCATCTGGGTGGAATCCTGATTGCCAACATGGCTCAGCTGATTGTGCAGGTGCAGCTAGAAATCCTTATGTAATCTGATGGACTTCACATTACAATGTAACTATTGTAACATGTACCTGTGTTCCTCGCTCTGTGTGATTAACTCAATCCTGAGAAGAGTTGAGTTTGTTCACAGTTGTCAGTAATAAAGGAGTTACTTTAAGGGCTTAAAGGGATTTCTGAGACCATAAGTATGGTAACATAATGTTATATTGATGAAGTAGAGACTTTGACTCATGTATGGATACCTAGGATGGGGCATAGACAAGGGCTCAATAACTATCTGTTGCTTGATGACTGAGTGAAGAAATGTGTAAGGCAAAGCCTGGAAGTGAGTGAGTGAGGCAGGAAAAAGAAAAAATCTGGGTGTAGGTGGAAAGAAAGAAAGAAAGAATTAGGTACCTGTTAGATTAGTAGATCAATATGTTGTCAAAAGTTACAGAAAATTAAATACTCAACAAATTCCACATACATTTACGGCCACCTTCATGCGTTAGTTCACTGTTTCCCACATATCAGTCATTTGTTTAGTTCCTTCACAGTTTGTCATATTGAGGCAATGCCTACCTGTTATTTTCCTTTAAATGAAGCTTCAATCAACTGACCTTTTTAAAACGTGGCCCATTCTACACAGTATCACCCACTAGATGATGGGTTTGGTGCTCTCAGTGCTTCTTATATTTTCTTATTTATTTATTTATTTATTTGTTTGTTTATTTATTTATTTATTTTTGAGGCAGCATTTCGCTCTTGTGGCCTAGGCTGGAGTGCAATGGTGCGATCTCGGTTCACTGCAACCTCTGCCTCCTGGGTTCAAACAATTCTCCTGCCTCAGCTTCCCAAGTGGCTGGGACCTGCCACCACACCTGGCTAATTTTTTGTATTTTTAGTAGAGATGGGTTTTCGCCATATTGGCCAGGCTGGTTTTGAACTCCTGACCTCAAGTGATTCTCCTGCCTTGGCCTCCAAAAGTGCTGGGATTACAAGCGTGAGGCCCCCTGGCCACTTCTCATACTTTGATGTGAGCTCAAATCACCTGGGATAAAGTTAAAATGATTCTGATGCCATCAGTCTGGGTTGGGGCCATTTCTGCATCTCTCACAAGTTGTCAGATGAGTCTGAGAACCACATTATGAATATCAAGATGCTACATACATATTCTGATAAACACTTAAATACTTAACTAGCAACGTTTTAAAATTTATCTTCGTATCAAGTAAAATTGTTTCATATACCCCATCAGTGGTAAATTGAATGATATAAATATAAACACTCTACTGAGTTAAAAAAAAATAAATTTCCTTTGCTTTCTGGGAATTCACTGCCAAGAAGAAAGATAATTATGTAAGAAACCAAAGTAACATGTGCTATGGGCTATTCTAGAGCTCTGTACAAAATGCTCTGAGAAAATCCTAGAAATTTGGGGAAGACCATAGAAAAAGTAAAAAGTGTGTCTCTGAGCATGAAAATAATGGTGGGATGTCTTTTGGTAGGCAGGAACTAGTTGGAGGGGTAAGAGGGTCAGGAAAGCCCAGAACCTGGGCTGTCTTCTGCCTGCCCCTACAGCTGTGAAGACTGTCCCCCATGCAATGGAACCCAGCCAGGGGCTGCATGGGTGTGCCACTTGTCCATTTCTGCAGACCTTCGCAGGACTGCATTGGCCTGTGTATTAGTCTGTTTTCACACTGCTGATAAAGACACACCCAAGACTGGGAAGAAAAAGAGGTTTAATGGACTCATAGTTCCACATGGCTGGGGAGGCCTCACAATCATGGCGGAAGGCAAGGAGGAGCAAGTCACATCTCACATGGATGGCAGCAGGCAAACAGAGAGATGGGCAGGGAAATTCCACCTTATAAAACCATCAGATCTCATGAGACTTGTTCGCTATCATGAGAATAGCACCGAAAGACCTGCCCCCATGATTCAGTTACCTCCCACTGGGTCCCTCCCACAATATCTGGGAATTCAAGATGAGATTTGGGTGGGGACATAGCCAAACCATATCAGCCTGGAAGGGGGCATCATTTTGGTATCACCCACTCACAGATGGAGAAAGGGTAGCTTTTTCAGCATTTGTCTTCCTGGAAGAGTCTCCCTCTTTTTATTTATCTTCCTGGAGGGGCATTTCGATTCTAATTTGCACAGACATCATACAGCTGCTTCCCTGAACTATTTCCTTAGTACCAAAAGACATCCCATCCTTATTTAGTGCCACACACCGTGAATTATTTGCATAATTTCTTGTCAAATGGGGTTCAATTATCTTCTCCTTTCCCAACTTTCTATCCCATTAGTAGAAGGTAAGAGGATGGATTTAGGAAAGGAGAGGAGAGGATGAGAAAGCCCTAGTTCCAGCTCTCAGAGATTCCTGGCCTTTCTTCAGTATTCTATTTACCCTCTGTCACAGGCAGGATAATGGTCCCCAGAGATATTCATGTTCTAATCTCCTGAACCTGTAAATATGTTGTGCTACATGATGAAGGAGAATTAAGGCTGAAAATGGAATTAATGTTATTAACCGACTTTAAAATAGGGAGAGTATCTTGGAATATCCAGGTGGACCAGCTATAATCACAAGGTCCCTTAAAAGTGGAAGAGGTCTCAAACTGCCAGCCTCAAGCAATTTTCCCAGCTTAGCCTTCCAAAGTGCTGGGATTGCAGATGTAAGGCACTGCACCTGGACTAAGATAAATCATTATAAAGTATAATCTTTAAAAAAAAAAAAAGTCTGTGTGTATATATATAGATAGATAGATAAAGATATATATATATAAAGAATTTTCCAATTTTCTTTCTCAGAGAGAAAACTAGCAATTATTATATCAAGTGTATTTTATTAGCCTATATTTATGTGTTAATTTGAAAAAATAACAACTTGAGTTCAAGCTGGTATCAGTTTTTGTTAAATTCCTACTAATAAGGCAATAATTTAACCAGATATCATAATCACTTATAAAAACAAAATATTTTGCCATTAGGGGCCTGCACACACCCTCAGTGATATGCCCAACAACTTCTTGAATATTTTCTTCAACACCTAAAATTAATTACTACACAATAATAATTTGTTTCCATATTATACCTTGCTTCATTTAAGTTCAAAAAATTATCAAACAATTATACATATAATTAATAGCACTAACAACATTTAGAAAATAACCATAACAATATTTCAGTAAGTTCAATACCTTTTGAGACATTATTAATTGTGTCAGTAACGTATACTAATGGTGATAATACCTAGCATGTGTCTAGAAAGCCGGCTTGTTAATTTATTTGGCTTACAGTTAATAAAATGAACATTATTTATTTGGGGAAACAAAGCGGGAGAGGGAAGCAGGAGAGGAGGTCAAATGGTGTGATATGAGAAGGACTCCACACTCCTGGCTGGGGGAAGGGGCCATAAGCCAAAGACTGCAAGCAGCCTCCAGAAGCTAGGAAAGAGTAGGAAGTGGATTTTCTCCTAGAACAGTGGTCCCCAGCCTTTTTGGCACCAGGGACCAGTTTTGTGCAAAACAATTCTTCCACGGACTGTGGAGGGTGGATGGTTTCAGGATAGTTCAAGCACATTACATTTACTGTGCACTTTATTTCCATTATTATTATGTTGTAATATATAAAGAAATGATTATACAATTCGCCACAAAGTATAATCAGTGGGAGCCCTGAGTTTGTGTTCCTGCAACTAGACGGTCCCATGGGACCGTCACAGATGGGAGACAGTGATGGGAGACAGTGACAGATCATCAGACATTAGATTCTCATAAGGAGTGTGCAACCTAGATCCTCACATATGCAGTTCACAATAGGATTTGGGCTCTTACGAGAATCTAATGCTGTTGCTGATGTGACAGGAGGCGGAGCTCAGGTGGTAATGCCAGCGGAGCAATGGGGGAGCAGCCTACAGTACAGGTGAAGCTTCTCACCTGCCCGCCGCTCACCTGCTGCTGTGCAGTACCAGTCCGTGGCCCTGGGGGTTGAGGACCCCTGTCCTAGAACCACCAGAAGTAACGCAGCCCCGACCACACCTTGATTTTAGCCCAGTCAGACACACATCAAACTTCTGGCCTGTAGAACTATAAAATAATAAGTTTGTGTTGCTTTAAGCCACTAAATGTGTGGTAATTCGGAACAGCAGCAATAGGAAACCAACATGACCTCTCGAGACCCAGAGACCCCTCTGGTTTGCCTCTTTCTGTTTCCAGGATGCTGCTTTTTTCTGGCTACATCTCCTACTTTTCCTTCACAGTCTCTTTTCCTGGCTTCTCTTTATCTCTAAAAATTGGTTCTTCTCCAGATTATGCAGTTACTTCCCTTTTCTCACTCTACAGGAATCACAAATTTGCTGAACACAGCCCAGATTCAGATTTCAGATATGTTTTCCTTGGCCTACAGGGTGTTTTTTCACAAGCCAAAGTGAAATGCATTTAGGCGAAGCATGCGTCCTCTAGATTTCCATAACTCACACTACTCCATACTGTATTTTACCTGGCCTTCTTCCCTCATTTACATTATTTGCTTTGTCCCTAAACATTTTGAGTTGAGGATTCTTCTTCTACAACATACATATGTAATGAGATGTCAAGATGTTACTTTGAAAAGGATTCACGAATCACATAAGTTCAGCAAATGCCAAGTTAGACAAAGGTGGGTTGTTATATGTCAAGAATTAGGAGCCTCGATTATGCTAATTATCATATATCTGCATAGATAGAGTACAGGCACGCACACAGTATGCAGCTGTATATAGCATTCAACATATCCCAAACTTGTATTCCTATGGAACTTTAACTAGTGTGGCATCTTTAGGTTGGATGCTCCAACTGTACACATTGAGATATGTTGTTTAATACTCTCTTTTCATCTGTTTCCATTACTGCAATCATCACCCACATCTTGATGAATTTCCAAAGCTATAAATAAAGCCAGCACTTACAAAGCATGAACTGCATGGTACATACTGTTGTAAGTACTTTCATACATATAAGATGACTTACAACACTGATATGATTGATAGTAGACACTGTTTTTATTCTTATTTTACAGGTGAAGAAACAAGTGAGGACGAGATAAGTTATGTGTACAATGCTACACAGCTAGAAAGCTACAAAGCTGAAGTTTGAACCCAACTCATCTTCATCTTGGTCCAGACTCTATGCGCAGAAGTACCCATACATCCAGCACTCACCTTGCTCTTGAGCAAAAGGTATGTGTCCAACTTAAGAAAGCGTTTACTACTAGAGATCACTGAAAAGATCATAAGTCATCTTAATCAGGTTGAATGCACTGCCCCAGAGATGTTCAAGAAGAGGTTCAAGGACTTCTTAGGAGAGAGTTTTTTGAGAGGCACAAACATTGAAGACATCAAATCCAATCGTAAAGTCCTTCCAAACGGGAGATTGTAAAAGGATATAAAGGTCTATTCTGGGTGGGAAGATAACATGGGCAAAGGTAATGACTGTCTGGGAGGAGCAGAACAGTCTGGCTGTCATGAGAAATTCATAGAGAAGAGCAGTTCCCAGTAATGCTGCAAAGATCGGCTAGAATCAGATTGTGAGAGGCCCTGAATGTCAGCAAAATCGGGGTTTGGTCTGAATCCTCTTAATCCTTTAACTGATGGGAAGTGCTACAGAGTTTCTCCTCGGGAAAGTGATAAAGTGTTGCCTTTTTTTTTTTCTGGTTTGGAGTTTTTTGTTTTGTTTTGTTTTGTTTCCGATGCAAAGGGTATGAAGGAAATTAATCAGACGACAGTCTTGATCTTCTGAAGAATGACTCAGTCAAACCTCTTTCGAATCTTCTCTTGCTCCCACTGCCCACAAGGTGGCACCAGAACTCAAAATCAGGACTCCCTGGAAGGTTGTCTCACTGTTCCAAGCCTTCACTGTAGGATGACTCCTATGAAGATACTTGTGAGGTGAACATGTCAAAATATATTTTTATTACCAATTTCTCATCAGCCTCTTCATTCACTCTGGGGTATTTGTACAGGAGTTAACAATTTTCAGCTTAACCGGCTGCAACGTTCTGAGGAACTTCTGGGGACGGTGCCAGTTTAAGAGACTGTTGTAGACCAAAATCATAAACAACACATCCTACAGAAAATGCTAATGACCAGCTGGAAGTTGATACAGTGGAATTTGTTCCACCCTCGATGACTTCCAGAAGCGGGGAGCTGTTCTAGTTCACAAGACGGAGAGGCTTTTCAGGTGGCTGGTTAAATTACCTCTTTGACACCTAACTCTAGTTAGGATGTGGAAGGAGATGAAAGGCTGAGCCAACTTATTACCTAATTCTTCAGGAAAGAAATGTGAGAGTACAGCTCTGTGTCCCTCTTTCCTTCCGAGTGCCCTTTCACGCTATCAACTAGTTTACACTGCTGAGGGCTCGCTCCTTTACATATCTCTTAAGCAAAATTTTTTTCTTAATGTCACAGTTCTGCTTTTGTCTTTAAAAAAAAAAAAAAGAGACGGAAGTAGGCTTTCAATTTGCTGGAAAGTTTCTGTTCTCACCAATCTCTATAAAAAGCAATCATACTTGGTCACTTGTAAATATGCCTAGTACACGTATCAGGATTCCTATTTTAAACATCTAAGACTAGTTCATATGATTTGAAATTTCAAAAGGCAAAATGGTCTAGCACTCAAATCACAGGTAAGTGGGAACATGGCATTTTTCCCTAAATCCTTCAAACTGAAATTTGAGGAGGAAATATAAAGTTTGTGAGCGTGTGACAAAGCGGGTATTGTTTAAAGATAAAGGGGCTTTTGTCTAAATACCATGGTCTCAATTTCCCAGGTTCTAGAGAAAAAGAAAAAAAAAATGTATATACTCTTTTTAATTTTGTTTACTTGAAATTCTTATGTTTTAGTTTTTCCAAACCTGTCTCTTCTAAAATGGGCAGCAGAAAAGTGAGGCTAATATAGATGATAGACTGATGGACTTGGATAAATAATTAATGGCCTGGAGTAATTAGCTGGAAGATGTTTAATCATTAATTTGTCTGAGTCATCAGAAGCATTTCAGCTTACTGATAAAATATTCCACTAATCATGAGTGTGTATATTTTGTCAAGATGGAAATTAATATGAGATGAGAATTAGCACTTTGAAAAATTAAAATACGGGACAAGTCTATTTGGTCTACTCTTTGTTTGTTAAAGATAAATGAAATTTTGCTTTCCTTTATTGTACCTAATGAGAAAAAAAGGTACATAAATTATATCTGTACATACAACCAAGAAGTCAAACTTTTTGGTTAGAGAGGCAAAGTAGCTGGCAAGCTTTGTCTTTCTTTAGGGACTTATTTAGGGGGTAGGAGAGCAAAAACGAAAACACTTCATTATTAAAGTATCTGGTGAACAATTAGGCTTCTTCCAGAGGATTTAAGGGGAAAAGGGTTCTTTAACATAATGCAATTTATGGCTGTGTTCTTCAATGTGGTGTTTTCCAATACAATTTTATTACAGGCTCTAAATTATACTTTCACAGGAAAGGTCTGTCTTTAAACTTTTAGGTCAGAATTGTTCAGATCTTTTCACACTGAATCAATCAGGTTTAAAGCTGGCAAAATCCTTGGCAGCCTTGTAAATCTTTCAAAAGATGTTATCCAATTACCCTTCATGGGCCACAGGATTCTACAGCGTGACTACTTCCTTCTCTATGAGGAATTAAGTGCTCATGAGAGGTTAGAAACCAATGGAGTTGAAAAGT